CAAAGGAAAATGAAACGCAATTACTGGCCTCTCATTGTAAAAAATACTGGTTTACAGTCACTAAAGACAGTTGAATTTAGAAATGAAGCTCTCCATTGGGGCAAATATTGCCCACCCAAATTTAAAAAATTAAACTGACTGAATTTGGTCTTCGTTTTTTTCTTTATCGGCAATAATAATGACTATGCATGCTTAAAAATGATTCATTATTAGTGGGAACTCATTTAACTTGCAACAAGCCACCAGTGGGATGAAATGTTATTATCTCATACCTTTATGAATCCTCTTTCCCCTAAGGTTTTCTTAAATCCACTTAATGAGTAATGATGGAGAATCTTTAATGCACTTCTAAATGTTGACTTTTTGATTACTTTGTATTGGCTCACAAACGGTTATAAATAAATAAGACAAAGTAACGAATTAATTTGAGGAAATCTTCCTTGGATATGTTAGAAAAATAATTTATAATTTTAAAATTTAAATTTACAAAAGTTATTATTCAGTTAGAGATATACTTTGTTTACCGACTGCAGTTAGAGAAGTTAACACAAGAGTGAAATATATATATACCGGTTTATCAACTTCCAGGTGGTCTCGCGTTTGCAAATTGTAGCTATTGAAAATACTTAAAATGGGAAAATACTACATGGCAAAGCATCCTTATCGCGTTCTTCTTTAAAATGAATTACATAACGCTTGTCTTTATTATAGAGGAAACAAAATTACCCGATGATCCAAATCGCTCACCTCTGTGATTTACGCTGAGCATAAAAGTGTTAATTGTTTGAGGTCTTGCAAGATTGTATCCTATTACAGTCCTCAAAAGTGGAAATTGGCTGCATGGGTAGGACCAATCACCATATTTGTAAAAATAGCTAATACGTAAGGGTCTTGGGATTGAAAATCTGCTCCAATGCAAATTAAGCAGTAAACTACCTATTGATTGAATATTCTATACCCCAGATCCGTAAAAATGTTTTTATCCTCGTTTCAATTTCAGTCTCGTCGTGAGATGTAAATATTTATTGTCCCTTTTCTGTGGGTAATAATGAGGAAAATGTAAAAAGAACAGTTTTTGAAATATGCTCTTCTAACTACCAGAAACAATGATAGATTAATGTCCCTGCTAAAGTAAGACTAATTTCAAGACAGCATGTAACTGAAGAAAAGTAAATTTCCATTTAGTACGCGTGCTTTCCTGTCAGCCACGTCAAGTTTTGTCTTTAGCCTTATCGTAATTGACATAAGAATAACTAACCAGAAATTATATTTTCATTCACTTTCAAGAATATATTCTACGAAGAGTCCATCCGTTTCCATACTGGTAATAGCTGATTAGCCAAAAGAAAGTAATCTTCATTAGCACTAATAGCAAATATACAGGGGAACTAATGAATTGAAGAGCTCTCATATCAACCTCATAAGTGGTACGTGTGTGGTCCTAAAATGAATGCGAACGGCATATGCTTATGATCGCAATATCCAATCAAGTTGTTGTATTACTTAACCATCTAATGATATTATGGCCTCAAATGAGTAGCTTCTCTCTAATGAGAAGAAAAGCCATCCAGGGTGGGAGGATCTGCGGATCAGAAGATCAATCGAGATGTCAAATGAACAGCCAGTGTCAAGCGCGCTTATTCATCTCAAGCCATTAACAACTCAAATGCCTATGCTGTCCAAATGGAGAGATAATGATTCGTCCCCACAATTCACTTCCCATGATTACGAAACTTACTAGGGTAAATAATCAAAATGCGGGATTAGCAAATACAAGCAGTTGAAGATATTCGGCTAATTAGACGAATCAATTGCTCATATTCAAAGCAAATTTCCAGCAACGTTATTATCTCCAAAATTTTTATCCAAATAACGGAGTCATGAAACCGTGAAACGGAAATTTTACCATTTTACCTTCATAACTTCAAATTTTATTTTAAACTTGTGACCTCTACCTCAAACATCTCTTTCCGTATTTAATGATTATTTTTGAATATTCTAATGAGGGGCAGAAGTTACTCATCCTGCCGGAAAATTAATTAATAACTGGATAAATTCTTGAATAAATTTTCTAGCAGAGGCTAACCTTAGAAGAAAAGGGGTCAGAAATACGTATTCATACTTCTATTTCATTTTTTACAAAAAATGTATAATCCGATATAATTATTAAAAAAATTGAGTAGTTGTATTTCAGACCTCATTTATTTTCAGCGCTACATCTGCGTTTAAAATTAATACCTAATTGTAATGGACATTTTCTAATAATTACTTCGTGACTTTGATAACTTTTCTCTTATGCCCAAGTTACTAAGCTCCACTTAGTAGGGTCATTGTAAACTTTATCATATGTAGGTGACAGAAATTTAATCATTCCCAACTGGTTAAAGAGGGACTCACGGGTAAACAGTCGCTGTATTTAATGTTTTATAGCCCATTGGGATTGTCTAGTAAACGAGCCATTACCCAAAGCTGAGGAAATAGGCAACCATTATAAAATGGAATGTGTGAAGGAGCAAATGGCTGGAAATCGATTTAAATTGTCAGTCAGTGTGGACTAACGCCAATTAACTGAAAAAGAAGTGCTTATTTTGGCATTCATTTGAGATTAAATTTGAAGTAAGCAGCCACATTTGAAATTAAATTCATAAAAGCGCAGAAAGATTGTATTTAAACTTTGCATGGTTTTGATGATATTATTTAAGGAAACGCAATTAAAGAGATTGGACTGTAAACACTTTCCAATTTCAAAATTGGCACACAAACTTGACACTGATTGAATCACCTCATAAATAAGTGAGTTAACAGCTAAATTTAGCAAGATTAGCAAAAATTGTCCCAGTTTAATTTTAGAAACCTCCAACAAAGTTGTGCAATCTCATCTGATTAAAATGTCCAGTCAAGTTATAATTAGAGTAGGTTTGTTGACAGAATTAAGAGAAGAAAATTTTTCCAATCAATGCCACACTTAATTGTGTAAACTTAAATGACAATGGTTTATTGCAAAGGGAAGGCCTTCCTATGAGCAATTAAGCAAACTGAAGAAAGGAGAATTAAAGGCCTTGATGTTTTGGTGTGAAATAAACCACGCCAAGCTGAGTATGTCCTCATGTAAGACTTTTGCATACTGTGGAGGCAAAAGGAATTGATTTCCATCTACTATAGGCAGAGTGACGGGGTAAAATTGGAGCTCTGTTAGGATAGATATATAAGGACTCATTTGCAACGTCTCAAAGGGAAAATGATAGCAAGAATGAGAGAGGAAAGCAAGATATTTATTGCCCTGACAAGCGCTTTGAGAAACGAACACGGATAAAACAGGGGCTGAGGAAGGGGTGAATGGGTAAGTTAGAGTGAACAGCAGTACTTAGGTAGATATTAACTTTAAATCAGGCAAGAAAAGCCTATGTACAGGAAAAAAGAGAGGCATAAAATCGAGCAAAATTTAGATTGAAATAGTGTGTTCAAGGAGAAAAAATGGGATGATTCAACTTTCCTCCCAGGAAGATAAATAATACATGCTGTGGCCAAAAACTCCAAGGTCTCTATGTCGCTACGTTAAAGACTATGTTAGATGCAATGCGTAAAGTGTCTTGTTCGGAAAGCTGAAAACAAAATTAATCCAACCAGCAATACAAGATCAAATGAATTACCTTCGATATAGAAAAGTACAATAGAGTTACCTCCTCGTGGTGAACCTCATATGGCAAAAGTCTATGAACCGTCATTCGACTTCTGTTTTCAAACTACCATGAACCAACTGTATGTCATATTCAACAACTTCCACAGTACTCACCTTACCTTTTTCTCGACCTTTGTGTCTGCTTCTTTTACATCTGTGACTAACACTTCTGTTCCACCTCTCGTTTTTAATGAATGTTATTATCTTTCTCTTAGTAAAGTCCCGATGTACAATAAAAACTATTGATAATTATTATAAAGCCAGCCATTTGATATAAATAGATTAATACATTCGATTTATAGGCTAACAAGTGGAAAGAAACGATTGCAAGATAACATTTAAGCTCTGTTCCTATCTCGCATACATATATTGGCTGTATACAAAATCGAAATAAAATACCTTTCAGTATGAAGCTAAGAATTTATTGAGCTAAATGTAAACATTAACTCAAATAAATAAACTATGCATGTTCGAATTTATTTTTAAAAATGTAATCAATAATAGAAGGCAAAATAAATAGAAAATATGGTGAATTAGTTGGAAAATAGTCAAAAGTAAAATGTAGTTATGCTACATTATAGGGCTTTTGGTGTTTTTTTCAATAAATATGCAGAGATAATACCATTCATGAATATTCACCGCACATATAAATGTTACCTTAAATTTTATAAATTTTGTTGATGGTTGCAATGGATATTGCAAACTAAAATGACTGAACCGTTGAATACAATTAAAAAAGAAAAAATCGTACAAAGATAGCAATAAAAGCCAATATTATTAAATACTTTTGACTCACGACGAATTACGTAGTCGATGTCTAATTAAATAAACTCCGAAATGATTAGCAATGCCTCTCAAAATTGGAATAGCGAAACACGTATTCCCGCTCAAATAAACGTCCTTAACTAATCATTAAAAGTATCAACGAGCAGCTCTTAGTATTCTTAGCTTAAACATTTAATTTATTATACAATATTTAGCATTAAATTTATCTAGTTCTATTTTTATGCAATTTATTGTAAATTTTAAATATATATGCACTTTTATATAATTAGAGTTGAAAATATACAAGCAAATTGTTTTTTAGTAATATTTCATCCCTTTTATATTGTTTCTTGCTTAAATTAAATATCGTTTAAGCTAACTGCCATTCTCTTTAATTTTACGAAATGTGTAACCTAGCCAATAAAGTTTTTGGCAGGTTTATGACACCTGACTTGTGAGTACTTTTTCGGGCCTTATTTATTTACCGGTTAATTCGCATTTATTTATTTTGCTTTAATTTTTATTATGTTTTGTCAACCCTTTAGGAATTAAAACGATGTTCCAACCATTGGTACTTAGATCGATCTTGAGGAGATCATTTGTTTGTCGATTATCTTCAACTGATGCGGTCGATAGTCTACCGTCTTCTTCTGAAAGTGCTTTTGACAATTCTGAGGACAGGAAAGAGATAAAAAAACTTGTCATCCCTGGTTTAACAGATTTTAAATCTAATCAAACTGAAGTTTATTATCCGAAGGTAAAAATAAAGATTTTAAATCTTCACTTTTATCACTGTCTTTAACGAACTCTATTTCTCTTTTTTAGTTCTCAGAGATTCATGAACATAAGGTTGAGAATGATGACTGGTCGAACGTGTGGCCATGTGAAAATTTCTTCTCTCCTTATATATTTCCGGCCCCCATTCGTCAGGGTCACAGCAAGGTAGGTCGCTTTATTTTTCTTCTGAGTCTTCGTTGTATGCAACATGCTCATTGTTAATTTTTCGCTTACTTAATGAAAAACGTTTCTTATCCGTGTCGGCTTTATTTGCGACTCTTAAGTTCATATTTTAATAATGCCATCGTGCTATTCCTACATCTCTTTATTGTTTATTGGACAGTCTCAATTATTTCCTTTAGTTTATTGCGTTTCTTATTTGATTTGAAAATATTCGAAACACAAATTTTGGGCGTAGAATGTAATGTGAAAACGCAGAACCTCTTTAACCTTTTTTAAATTAGTCCCTAATTTTGTTTACTCTAACCTAGCTTTCGCTTTTATTGATCTACCGTTCTCACGAATTCAAAAAGAAAAAAATAGTTTATTCATCTCTAATCATGTGTGGCTTTATTGTGCTCTAGAATAGTTTGCAAGCGTGGATAGGATGAAATATCCAACTTAATTCCTTCATTAATAAATCAAACCTAATATTTTTTCCGGATGTTTCATTTATTTGCACAAGAACTCTAGTTTTTGCTAATAATTTGTAGCACCAGCAGTCAATACTTTGATTATCTATTAAGATTATTTCAATGAGCACTGCACATATTTTGTTTGCTATCACTTCCTTTCAGCTCTTCTTAATTGTGATGTCTCACTCATAAAGACCTCACTGTCAGCATGTTCCAGTCATTTTTGAACTGCTAGTAATATCTTAATAATATGGTTTTTCGCTTCTTTCTAGAATTTGGTCGAAAATGGTGGTCTACCTCCAGCAAAATATGCTAACGCAGAGCTTCTTAAAATCCAAAATTTCCTTCACCTTACTCCCTCCCATATTGAGCAGCACTGTCAGGCTCTCAAAAGTACTTACCATTTCTTTCTTTCATTGGTTAATTCTTACTAGAGTTCCTCACTAAGTGGCCAAGTGGACTTAAAACTGATGCAGATATAAATCGTCACTATCCTCTTGAAGTTATTACTCAGTCCTTTACCAACAGTGCCCCATCAATTCACGATACCCGAGCGCGGCGTGTAACAATTAGGGTTCGTTTACTTGCATAAAAATATGACATACTTAAATTCATATCAGTAGTTGTTTCTTTCTTTTTTGTTTCTTTTAGGTTCAACTGAAAAGTCTAGGGTTAGATGAACGAGCTAAACTTAAGCTGCTGCGATTGGCAAAAGTGTATGGTTTCGAACGAGGAATGGCTCAGTACTACTCATCTGAAGATGTTCTCGAGTTATCTTCAGATAGATGTCCTGTTTCAAATCAGAATTATGATTACCTGAATTATGTCCTCACAGTTCTAACTATGGAATCCAAGGTTCGTTCCTATATTCAGCTTTCTTTTTATTGTTAAAACAAGCTGTTAGTAGTTAAAGAGGGTCAGCATTTATGTCTGCTAGAATTTTGACCTCCATGGTAACCTTGAACTTCTCTACCACTGATTTAATTATGTTGATGTTTTGCACATTTACCTTACCGAATTATTACATGACCAGGGTCTAATGGCTTTTAATGTATTTTTTTCCAGCTGAAGTTGGATAAATAAACTACCGATTTACCTTTCGTACGGCATCAAAAATGGCGATGAAAGTTGCAATGTTTGATTTCATTCTTACCCTACTTTTTCCACTTATTTATTTTTACTATTTCCGACCAAATTCCTTTTCATTTCTTTTTAAGCAGAAAATCTAAGTGGTTTTTAATGTATATGATGTAGAACGAATACGATATACTTGATGAATACTGTTTGCATTTATATTGTAAAGTTGCTTATTTCCATGCAATATAATTCTAGACCACCTAATATGCACTCAAGTGATGGTGCTTGTGATCATTTTTGGCCTACATTAGTCTTGTTTAATGTGGTATACTAGTCTCTTATAATTCATTTATTTTCCTCTACAGAAACATGAGGCCTGGGAGGATGGAGAAACTGGTAGTTACTTGGATTTCAAGTGGGAACGTTCTCAGCAACGTAAGCGCGTTTTGGATCTTTTTGCTGGGGAAACAGATCCTTCTCGGGTGAGTCCACAAGTACTTAGCTTCATCTATTGAGTGTGTCCTTAATAACAATTCCTTTCGCTCTTTCAAAATGATATTAAATATTTACTAATAGAAAAGTGGTGGTTAAAGGTATAATGCAAGAGTGAGCCAAAAGTTCTCGGTTGACTTCCATAATTTGTTTAGTTAACAAGTGCTTGCATTCATCTTCTGCATAGGCACCGTTGCTTTCTATACGCCTTGGTATTCTTTATTTCACCTGTAAATTCCCTTTTGATAGAATTTTGGTCTTTAAAGTGTTCTTTCAGTTTTTGAAGAAAATAAGGTCTGAGGAATCTATTTCCGGACTATTAGGAGAACGTGGAAGTGTTTCCCATAGCAATTCTCTTAACAGGTCCATGACATCTCGTGGAGAATGTACAGATGCATTATCATAATGTAACAAAATTTGTGCGGTTTCCCGCGCCGTTTTGCCAACTAATTAAAAACTCCTTCATAAGAACTTGAGGTGACCGTCTTCTCTCCTTCTAGAAAATTTATCAATATCACTCTTTCCGAGTCCCAAAAAATAGTGTCCATGATCTTCTTAACGGACCTTTCAGCTTTGAACCTGACTGACCTAGATGTTCCCTTTGAATGCCATTATTTAGATTGAATTTTGTCTTCTGGATCGAATTGGTAGATTCAGGGTACACCTCCAGTTATGCAGCGCTTAAAATTAATCTCATTTGCCTCCATCTTTGTCAAAGTCGATAAGGGAATAAAGGCTCTTTAGACCAGTTTTTTCTTCTTACAACGCTTTCGGAACCCACCGTGTCCATGGAGAGTCTGCTCAAGCCAACAATTTCTCTGAGAATGACAAATGCTGATCCGTGTGGGATTCCTACTTCATTGACAATGTCCTCAATGAAAATTCGTTCATCTTTTTCCCACACTAAGTTCTGCACAAGAGAGGGAATGTTTTCGTGATTTCTTACCGCTGTGGGTCTCCCTCCTCGTGAGTCGTCATCAAGCTGCACTCTCCCCTCTTTAAAGCATTCAATCATAAACCATATATGACTGCTCTACATGGCACAGAGTCTCCATAAACCTGTTATAAGAATCTATTATCTCGACTAATGTTCCGATTTGGTTTTATTAAGTGTTTTATTAGCTCTGATCGCAAAATTTTCCATTTGAAGGGTTGAAACTTGCTAGTTATTTTGAGATGCAGCCTGACTTGATCCTGATCTTACCAAAAATTATCGGGCAGTTGGACATTATTAAGAAGGCTCTAAAGACATTTTGAATTTGTAAAAATCTATATGTCTTTGTTCTATTTAAGTTATAGCATTTGTCTGAGAAATTGTTAACTCACCATCTTAGCAACAGTGACAGCTATTTTACTGAAAACCTTGTCAATAGCAACGTATGCGCTTGCCACACTCTCATCAGCCTCGATTAATCAACTCCATTTTTTGCTAAAACGTGCAGTTTTGGTTTATTTACTAATGGTATCTATTAAATACGTGTAGCCCGCCTTAATAGGAAAAGTTGTATCTTCCTTTCGGCCTTCAAAGCAGTGTTGCTAATCGAATTTCTTTGGAATTCATTGAATCTTCCATGTTACATGGAAAAGTCTTTCGTTGCGTATTTTTTTCGTATTGGCTGACCTTCTGGACTTTGGTTAATAAAAAAGGTCGCTACTGATTTAAATACATATTTTCAAGATATTCTGTGAATTCAATGCTGTGTCGAATTTAACGTGGCGTTCCAAATACCTTATAAAAGTGGCCTCATTCATTGAAATAAAAAAAGCTGCCGATTGGCTAACAGTTTTTTCTTCCTTTTTCATCTTCCTCCAATTTACTTAACCTGTACGATGCACAGTTCACGTACTTGCTCCGAACATTGCAGACGACCAAAGGCTAATCATGCTACTTGTACTGGAAATAATTCTCTTGCCACACCAAGAAAGGTGCTTTCTAATGGCCAAGGAGACTGAATGGGAAATGTTTATTACATGTTAGTGTTAATCTAAATGGTTAATCATTAAGAAGGGGTTATAAACTGGTTATGCAGTAATTAATTAACTACTGAAATAGATGCATTGTTTTGTAGGTTGAGGAACTGCCAGCCGTGAAAGCTTACCGGGCCGCTCTAGAAGCAATGTTCAAGACTCCAACTGAGGAGAACACAGGTCCCTGGAAGAAACCGAAGAAGCAGCCCAAGATTCGTCACTATCACTGGCCGGAAATCAAGGATGTTGCTTTCGAACCGGTCGTTGGTGCCGACGTGGCTGAAAACCTAGAGGCCTATGCAGAAGCTGTGAAAAAATTGTATACTGAAGGAAAATCTTCTGCTTAAATTATCTGTATATAGTGAGCGTGCACTCACACGGATTGCTCCTAAACGTTGCCTTTTTTATGAATAGTAGTAATATTTTTTTGAAGCCTCAAAGTAGTTGTTAGTTTCTTGACAAATACTGTCGCTTTTTAAATGGAACCGTGTTTTCTTTTCATTTTCCAGTGATAAAACTGATCTTGGTAACAGGATGGTAAGCGATGTAGTTACAACTAACTTTCTTGCTGCTGTTAAAAGAAATGAACCTTTATATCTGTTGGTACTTCCTCCGAAAATATGGTTTATTCCTTAACCAGTTGTTTCAATAGTATCAGAAATGGGAAATTTAGTAAGAGTTCTTTCTTTTTTCGAACCATCTCAGGCGCGTGGGGTTGTCGAGATTGGATTTTTTGGAGCACTTTGTGTTAATGAAACTTGTCACGTCTTCTAGAATTTGGTATAATAATTTTACTCTGAAATTTCAATGCAAATCCGGGAAACCTGAGTCAGGAGATCACGTAAAACGAAATTGCTTCCTATTTTGTTTTCAAAAATGTCTTCTTTCTGATAAAGCAAATGCAGTTGGCTTTGCAAGGCTGAATTCATGCAACAACTTGCAATATTTGGATTTACAAGTAAGCGAGCTAGTGCTTCAGTAATTATAAGAAACGTCTTTGTCACAAGCTTTCTATTGAAATTCAAATGAAAGTTGTCATTTGGAGAGGGCAAACCATGAACTGGATGTGTAGAAGCAATACGATAAATGATAGATTTTCTTTCTTAGATAGTAAATTGATTAGAAATATAACTTAAGTTCGTTGGCAATGCAGATTAAACGGCATGCATTCAAATTTCTGCTTCCAAATATTGTAAGTTTCATTACTTTATTTGCCTCATATAATAGCCTCAAGCCCTAGAATCTCAATAAACCAAGCAAATGCCTTAAAGGTAGGCTACCATAAAATTGGGCAACTTAGCGATCATGCTACTTGACACATTTAAACAACTACGTCAGCTTTCAATTTAATGACCAATAAATTACCAATTTAATCAAAGTAAGTAAAGTAATTAGCGGAATGGTCATGAATATTACTGTCAAAATTAAATACATTTAGGATCTTGTAGGTTGGGCTTGATTTAAGCACTATTTGCTCTTGCATTTGACAGGTCCATATTATTGAAATCGGATGCTGAAATTGTAGTTTCAGAAGCTATTAAAATTTTATTACCAACCCCACCGAGCATTTCCCATATCCATCAACGTGTTTATCTACCTGCAGGTCAATGTTGGGCCCTGTAGTTTTGTACAAGCGACAGCTGTTCGCGTAGGCCTTGGAAGGTAAATGGCTAATTTAGGTCTCTAGATGCTTATTTGCTTATTAAGAATAGGCAAGGCTATCTGCTCGCGGTTTTCGCCTGAAAAGCACGAGTTAAAGGTCTGAAAGCGAGTGCTATTAGTACGAAATGTAAATATAGCTTCTCCTTTTAATTTTGCAAAAAAACTTTCTATGATAAAAATTGCTAATTTCATTTACTAACGTGATTTAATACAAGTTTTCCTATGCTTAAACTGTTGTTAATTGTAAGTTTGAACCATTACACTATGGAGCGCACAATACTACCCAAGCTGAACAAAGAAGTCTTGAGCAGTTTAGAAAGTGCGGCGTACTGCTGATCGCGTGGGGAGCAAGGGGGGTCGTGGGAGCGGAGTCCTTTCAACCAACCAGAAATCAATAGTCACTGCATTATTAGCGTGCCCTTAATTGTACCTTAATGACTGAACTTTTAGCCAGTGGTCAATAAGCGGTAATAAACGCTATTCACTTCATACGTTCGGTTTCCTCACGAATATTGTGGTGGCTTAGTTTTTTTGCGAAGATCACTTACATACTTGGAGATATTGCTTATTTGTGAAATATAACCTGCAATATCTTTTGCAATTCTGATCTATTTTGTTTGACCTTTTATTTGCTCTTATACTAGAATGTTTGAATTTACCCTGGATAAAACTAAGATTAAATTTTAAAAGATGTTTTGATTTCGTATTCATTGTGAATAAAATCAATAATCAGTGGGTCTCCTTTCCATACCAAATTAGCAAATTATGAGAGTTAAATTGTTTATTCACTGATTGGTTCTCCTTAAGCCAAACTCGATCACTACATGCCAGATCTTATATTTTCCCGTTGGGGGTGTGTGATAGACTTACCTCCACGTGGTGCACCCTGGGCAACGTATACTCATACGGCGAAAAAGTCTATTAACTGGCAGTTGACTTCTCCCTTCAAACTGCCCTCACCCCACTGTATGTCATATTCGACTACTTTCACAGTACTCACCTCACCTTTTTCCACTTTTGTGTCTGTCTCTTTTACATCTTTGAAACACTCTTCCTCATTCCCCCCCATCGACTTTTTTCAATTTGATGTTACTTCCCCTCGGTGAAGCCTGAAGTCAACTAAAGGGTTAATGATAACCATCAAACGCCTGCCATTTGATATAAATAAATTTTCCCTATTTAACATAAGCAGTGAGTGACATTCATTTTTTTACTCAAGGTTCTATGCACTATATTCTCTTTTTACCATCTTTCTTCCCACCCTAATTTTTGGTGTATTTTTCTGCTATTTTTCTTCTTTATTGGAACACGTATTTCTTACGCCATGGCCTACCAAGCCCATTGAAGGAAGTGATTGCCACACCCTCCTCCACTCGACACTGCCTTGGCTGTGACGTGTTATAGCTATATTAATCATTATTTTATATTGAGTGATTGGGGTGTGCGATGGACTTATCTCCACGTGGTGCACCCTGGGTAACGTATACTAATAAAGCAAAAAAAGTCTATAAACCGGCAGTTGACTTCTGACTTCAAACTACCATCACCCCACCGTATGTCATATTCGACTACTTCCACAGTATTCACCTCACCTCTGTCCCTACCTTTGTGTCTGTCTGTCTGTCTCTTACATCAGTGAATCACTTTTCTGTTCACCCTCTCGAATTTATCTCACTTTGATGTTCCACTCCCTCTGTGAAGCCCCAAGTCAGCTAAATGGCTAATGATAACTTTGAAATAATAATAATAATATTGAGTGATTTGATTATCACCTGTCTTAAATTAATAAGAACTCCTCTATGCTTTATTTTTATTGGTTTCCTCTCCGGCCTCCAGCTAATGATATCGATTGCATACGCCAGTTGGTGGAGTGAGATT